TGGGATATTTTCAACTCGAGGGGCAAGAATGCGACGTTGTCCGTCTCTTTAATTGTGAACGTAGTATTTTCATTTCGTACGAACATTCGCTGCGATACGAAGGGGAACTTCGATACGAAACAATTGAACACACTCATATTCGATAGATACTGTACGCTATACGATATGTACTAAATAGCTACACGGAGGATTCATTTTACTCACTGTTTTAATCGCGTGATCGCTCCTTCTCTCTTCAGCGAAATAATATCACTGTTGCGCCAAATAATATCGCTGTCACATCCTATAAATTAGGTTTAGTTTTCGGTAAAACCACGCGTCAACGAATTGAACGGACTCATGTTTATGTACGCGTGCTTGGCGCGAAGCCTGCACCGCTACTGAACTCAACCGAATTCGACAAACAACCACACCACTAACACGATTCTCTCTTTCGTTCTCTCTTCTCCTTCCTCTCTGACGTATGCCAACGCCGCGAACAGTTGCATTTCATCGTTAACATGCTCCACTCTGATATTGTTTCTATAATGATACATAAGTACTTTACGAATTTCTGGATAACTTATGATTCCATCTGATCTGTTGCCATAGCAAATTAAACAAGAGCCGTACTTGATGACACGGTTTTTCCTTACGCTCTCTTTTATTATTTTGCTCACAGCTTCTGCGTGAACGAAAGACTTTTTACAATCGTTTCATAAAAGATTTGAGATTGAAACAATGATTAAAATTGTCACACGTGTGAGAATTATATATAACAATCTAACCTGTGCGTTGGCCTGGGTCCAATCTGGCGACATCGCCGGCGAAGATGAACCCTTCCATGTCTATTCGAAGAATCTATAGATCACAGTTTGTCGAGACTATCGTAAATGGTAAATGTAACTGAGTCAAACAAGTTTAGTTTATTTTCAAAACAATGCCGTAGGCTACTTACAAAAATAATACTACCATTACAATTTTTTCGCATTTTTAATACAATAAATGGTTAATACGAGATGCATCGTGTATAGTACCTCAGGATGCTGGCATTTGTATGTACATTGGAAAATATATCGTTCGCTCGTTCCTACAATTAGTTTAAGTAATACTTAGTGTTTCGTACCGTGATTCCGCGATTCTAAAATTGAATTACCAAAGGCTTTGCGCGTTGATGCGACGGTATCGGACGGTGACTGCGGCATACAACTTAACTGGCTACCGCTGATTATGAATGATGGATTGATTGATTGTTGGATTAAGTGTAACGTGAAAACAAGAAAACTTTTATTCTAGAACTTCGTGTACAAATATTTTACGAGATGGTTCCTTGGCTCTTTGTCGGAGCTGACTGACTCTAGAGAAAACTGTCTGCTGGCATCTAGTTTCTCGTTCTTCTTGATTGGCTGTGCCTGTCTTCCGAAGTGCATGCGACAAAATTGCATACTTGTTATTCCTCCAATGAGGAAAAAACTGGAAGTCGTGACCGTGGCCGATGGGGGACCCGCGTAGGAGCCCTTTTTACCTGAGGCCCAAATGACCTCTGGTCAGCAGATGTTGGTGTCTGGATTTACTTGGTCGTAAAACAAGCGTTTTGGGATGACTATTGACATACCCTTCTGGCCCGTTGAGATTAAATTGGTGGACACAAAAGATATGAGCCGTAAAGCATTGTATGTTTTTTGGAAACGTGTTACTTAGCGTCTCGTC